TTCTACGTTAACACATCAACTCGATATACAGCATATAACGAATGTATCCTATCAGTTTCTAGTTAAACTACAAAACATTATAGGCTTTGGATTGTACGCATAAAGTGAAACAAGCGCGGCTGTATCAATTTAGGACGTATTTTTTCTCTACACGATCCTAAGAATCTCTTGCGAATGTCATGGAGACGCTTTACACAGCTGGAATGTTTGCACAACTCTTTCTCTATAATCTGGTACGCTCGTAATGTGAAATGTGATGTAAACCAGAAGTAACTATTCCGATCAGGCCGATCAGTCCGATACGTCAATCGTGAAGATAAGTACGAGGATGAAACCGCGAGTACTTAACAGATAGCCTACTCTACTGGAACACAACCTTTTTTGGTGAATAGTCTCAGTCAGCTATATCTACGATTTTACATTTATTTCATTGAGCTTATTACTTGTTGAACGTTAAGCTAAAATTGTCTTATTGTTAGGGAAAGCAGTTTCTCTGCGTCTCTAAAAAAAAATAATAATAATAACTCTATGAATCCCTAATTCTTATTCGATCTAAAAGAGGTATCAGTTGTGACACGCGCAGCGCTGTTGCGGAAAAATAAAATTAAGTAGCAAGAGTATGGAATATGCAACTATTGTCACCGCGAGAATGACAAACTCGGCCAACGAAAAATCTGGCAAATAGATCTATAGATTACACACACACACACACACACACATAGCGAGAATGTGTGTAAAGATATTTTGGTTTTGCAACTTGCAAAGTCTGTGTATATGCGTAGACCATTTCAATTACGTTGACATTGTCATTGCAACGTAGGTTTCGTCGGAATCGTCATTCGTGTCCCGACGTACGGCTAGTCCAAAGATCCGTCAAGTGTGGACTAGCTTGCTGTCTCACCTAAAAAATACTTTCTGTTATCTTACGCCACAGAGATGTGGTTCGTTTGAATGCTTCCGCTATTGCTAGCGCGAAAGGTAGATTAATGTCGAGAGACACTCGACTCTTACCTGTACTGCAACCCGGATTATAATTGGCCGATATAAAGTTGCGCAAAGTCTCATACGCTTTTTCGAGATCATCATTTTCTATGACAACGTCAAAGTTACCAGGTGTTTCACCTACGAGGAAAAACACACAAACAAGTATGAGCGCGATTGATCTTTCCCGTTAGCGTCAATTGCGAATCTCGTGTTCTGTACCGTATTCTAGTTCGGATCTGGCAATCGACAGTCTACGCTCCAAGGATTCCTCGGTCTCTGTATTTCTGGCCTTTAATCGTCGCTCCAGTTCCACAATGGACGGTGGCTTTACGAATACGTAAAGGGGATTGAGGTCGGTGCGTTTAATTTGTTTGACACCTTGTATCTCGATATCCAGCACACACACCTTTCCCAAACATTGCACCTCTTGGACCGCCCGTTTGCTGCGAATGGAGCTCGGGTTGATATCGTTTCCATCTACCATATATATCTATAGCTGCTTTCCTTTTACACTCAAGTGATACCGAGTCACTCAGTTATGCTAGTATTTTGTACTCAGATATGACGTCATTAATGGTCTATTAAACTAACTAAAGTACACGGTCTTGATCGTGCGCAAAAACTCAGTTAAATCTGGTTGAATCTCACTTCTCAAGAATCAAAAGGAACACGCTTTCAACTGAGTTACGACGTCACAAGTGAGATTTATCTGAGTTTTCATGTAAAAGGAAATATATGTGCTTACCTCGTCCCATAGAGGTTGCCGCTAAATGTAGCAGTTTCAATAAACTCGCCATTTTCCACCTGTCTCTGCATCTTTTCCTTGTCGGTGAAGTGATAGTGAGTGCCGTCCTCTTCGCCAGGCCGTGGCGTCCTAGTGGTATGGGATACCGAGAATTTGAAGGTATCGGGAAATTCA